TCTTTAACAACTCTATGTCACTCCTTGTAACTATATCTATGCATGTATCTGCATATGTGGAACAGCTTTTTTCGACTAATGGTTATCACTAGAAATTGGAGTAGCTTTGATAAATTGCAGCTTGTCAATGTAAAACAAATTAGTTACAATAATAACTATCTGGTGTGCCGATTGATATTAAATACCCGACCACGTTGTCTTGTATCGCGACTAGCAGTCCTCTTCAGTTATCGATCCATGGTTTTACATACATAACACTTTTTTTATACAATTTATTTCGTCTAGACGACATCTCGCAACCGTCAGCCGTCTAACGTTCAGCACAACATGTTTTCCTCGCTGCGCATTGTCGAGCGAGCTGTGAAGAAGCAACTTAAAGAACACCAGATCTCGGAATCCCTAGCCGACAAGTTCCATTGGGATAAGCTGTCAGTAGCCGCGTCTAACTAAAGACTTTACATAGAATAAAACAAAAAGGTAAACATGCCTTTTGCCTTTTTTCGTACTATACCATGTTTCTAAGTTTCAGAGAATGGTGTTAACTGTTTTGTAAGTTATTTAGGTAATAATTTATAATATAATAATTGTTTTGGACTGTTAAATAAACTTCTTCACAGCAATATATGAGGTTATGCGTCATTTTCTTTCTTGTAGGTATTTGCAATCATTCCGCCATATTTGTTTACCATTTTGATTTTTCTAAAAAAATAGACCTTCGTTATCAGTAGAATTGTCTGTCATTTATGACAATTTTATAATGATTAGAGCCGACTTTTGAACCTTGAAATGCCAGCGTTGTTATTAATTTCTTGTTAATATTAATAACAATCACTGCCAATTGAAGAATGGATTCTTCCACCGTTCTGCCATCTTAGATCTTGTCTGCTAGTTTTAAAAATGTTGCATTAATAGAAACAAAAATATATTACGTGAAAAAAAAGGGATTAATTTCCAAGATATTAGCTACCAAAATTATACTCTGTATAACAAAGTAAGATTTACAATGAAAATTTTCACCAAATGTATTTATTAACGTGAATAATGAAAATATATGTATTTCTCTATTTCAAAGTGTTATGAAGTACTTAAGAAGTCAATAGTACGAATATTACCAGGGGTTCGATTCAGAATCTTAAGATAATTCAGTGGTCGACCGATTTCTATGCATTTTTATTCACAACATCCGAATCGAACGTCAAACTGTCGTATTCGAAACCAAACCGAAATGACGTCATACCCGTTATTAACATTATTCAGAACACAGTTACGAAAGAAAGTTACCGAACGTCCTATTGTTTGCAAAGCAAGAATGTAATATGGAAATCTCTTACTTATTAATAATATATATCTCTTACTTACCGACTAACTCCGTAAACGTAGTTGGATAACGATATCGCATTCGAATCCGAATCGAACGTTTCAACTCGAATATTATGAATAGCTCGGAAAGCGCCCTTCGATTCGAGAACGATGTCCAATCGATCGATTCGATTAAGATGTCAAAGAGTTCTGAATCGTAGTTCAGGACGGCATAATATAATAATGTGCCAGATAACCACGCTAATCGAATGGTCTCAAACTAGAGAATCACCTGTACTATAGAGTACCAGAACAGAGGAATTCATCCTGAAGCACCTCCCAGAACACCCAGACCAGATCCAACTTACAAAAGTTCATTTTCCAAACGGATCCTATATACAATTCAGGACCTCCGCATTCAACGTCTACTGTCTAAATCGTTAAACCACCGAGGTAGTCAATATAATAATAATACAACCTTTTTTCCGCCAATACAATATTAATATCTTCTAACGCGGGCGGCTGTGGTCGCCATTTTGTTTCTTTTTTAATTCAACACGGTGAGTGGTACGCAAAGTGGTAAACTCCTTAATTTTTAAATACCAATACGTGGCGGGGGTTCAAATATAACGACAGCCCTTATAAACGTAAATAGATTAAATATTAATTTTATTGAATAACGTTATGGTTTAATTCCATGATATTCAATTATTTTCTGTAAAATTACTACAATAGTTTGTTATAATTATTAATACAAAGATTGAAGACAAAAAGAAACAGGCCTTTTTCGTGGCCCTAAATTGGCATATAGACGCAGGTTTGAGTCCCGTCAGGTTGGAGGAATTTATTTGTATTCGATCTTATCTCACTGTTGGGCATAGTCCACCACCATGGCCCAATGCTGATTGGGGAACTTTAAACCCTTTTCCAAGGTTGTGAACCCTTCTTTGAGGTGCAGGTTTCATAACGATGTTTTTTCTTCACACACTTACACTTCACACTTCAAATTAAATTTCGCACATAAACGCAAAACTCAGAGGTACTTGCCCGGGCTTTGAACCAAGGGCTTCTCCTTAAAAGGCGGTAGGTCAAACCATTATGCTGCCAAGACTTTTTCAGCTTTTTATTCATTTACTATAATTATAAATACGGTAATGCTTTTTCCTATTGGACTTAAAAATATTACTTTAGTCTTAATTGTAGGTTAGCATAGTAATTACCGCATCTATTTGTTGCAATCCGTCTGATTAAAACTACGTTTTTTATTCATCAAGCAGCCTCTACTCCATCCTCTTTGGATATAGGCATTGGACCAGTTGTAGCCCGCGAAAATTTTGATGTCATCCACCCATCGAGTACATAACCAGAAATAGAGATGAAATGTCATTTAATTTCTTTGACAACTATTCTGCTGTATTACTGTAACAACTGCGCTCCGATTGGTCAGCCCGAATTCGAAACAATTGACGGGTGTCGTCAATAATTTCACTGCAAATCGACCAGTTAACTTGAGCTTTGCTATAACGGACGAAAATTGCAAAATTACATATTTAATATTTAATTACCGATGAAATATGATTCCGTTTGTTTTGTAATTAAACGTTTTGCAGTTTTTCCCACACCATCGAATGGAACAGCCCCATTGTTAGAGATATTATCTTTATTACAATAAATACAGAATATTTTTGGAATATATGGAGACGTACACACAGGTCAGTTGTTGGCCCTCTCTTTATTTCAGTGCAAACGAGAGTTGATATTTATAAGTGATGTATCACTGATAAGTTACCAGGAATGTATGGCCATTATTTCATCTCTATTTCTCGTTATATACTCGATGCATCCACCCAATAAAGTGGCGGACGACCTCTGCTGCGCGTGTTAGAACATGGTCATCAATCCATGATCCTCCTTGTCCACCGATCTGGATCCATCCTAGCTACATATCCTGCCCATTTCCATTTCATCGTCTCAATTTTGTGTACAACGTCACCGACTTTAGTTATCCGTCGAATATGCTCATTCGGTATCCGATCATCATCAGCTTACACGCATCCACTGCTGGACACACAAGCGTTCCCTAGAGCACGCTAACTCTCCCGGTCTTGTATCCGATCAAGCAATGTTATTCCTAACATTGCCCTTCCATTGATCTCTGTGCGATTCGTAACTTCTATGCTGATTTCTTCGTCAGAGTCGTTGTTTCCATGCCATAGGTGAATACTTTACTTTGTTTTTTCTATTACAGACTAACATTTAATCTACGCAGGAAGACACCAGCACCCTTTTTATAGAAAAGCGGTTAAATATCAAGAAATAGCAACAGCTTTTTTTTAACTACTAAGACAAATATTGAGATTATTATTATAATATCTTGTGCAATTCATTATTTCAAATTAAGTTAATTTAGACTAATGGATTTGGTTTTAATTGACTGATTTTTATTTTAAAATATGCAATAAATGTACTTTGTTTAATTTATTTGTGTCAATTTATAATTTTAGAACAATTAATATAACTTTTTATTATTATTGATGTTCAGTTCGAAGCACGATGAACGTTAAACCTAAACGTTGTGACAATGGAGTCGAATTTAAAAGTTAGAATGTAAAAGAAGTCATGTCGATGTTTTATACTGGATTTTTTGTACTTTTATAAATAATGAACACCCGCTTGCCACAATCTCACCTGATGTTAAGTGAAAATGTGACCGACTATGGTACGCGTTTGCCTAAAAAATACCTATTCATTCTAGCCTTGAATAACCCCAAACTGTACTTTTCGGGAAACAGATTTATTATTATTAATTATTATTCCATTCCTTTGCTCAAATTTCATTTTTCGAAATCTTTGCTGGATTTCAAAGTAGGATCCTTCAAAAACCTTTATTTATGAAGAGATGTGCTTCAGCAACCAATAGCAATTCGTTATTTACTCATCTCGATGTTTCTTATGCAAACAACCAATCGTAATTCGTTACAATAGACATCCACTTCCTACGGTCCTGACACACATCTTTCGCCTCATCAACGTGCATCAGTGCTTTCATACACGCGTGTCGGTTACGGGTACTCTAGACCTGGCCCGTCTTTAGGATGACCTCAATTTGGTCACGGTAGGTTCGCCTTGGTCGGCCCTTGCCAACTTGCCCGCTCACATTCGCCTTATATATCTGTTTCGTTAATCTTCTTTTATTCATTCTCTCTACATATCCGAACCATCTAAGCATCCCTTTCTCTATCTTTGTCACTATATCTTCTTCCACTTACCACACTGTGATTTATCCATCAGAGTCACTCCAGCCATACTTCTCAAAGCTCTCATTTCTACTGCATTAATTCTACTTTCGTGCTTCTTCTGCCAAACCTAATATTCACTACCATTACATAAGTGCAGGAACCAGCTACCGTCATTTACAGCCAGTCGTGCCTTTTTAGACACTTTCCGGTTGCCCATAACGGCATGCAATGCACAATTCACCTGATTCTCTGCGTTCACTCTCCTTATATTTATTCAAAACAACTAATGGTATTTCTTTATTTTAACATGTCGACCTTCCGTATTTAAAACAACCAATGGTATATCGTTATCTGAACGCCGTTTAATCAGTCTTAAATGGTATTTCGTTAATGGCGTAAATTAATGGCGTAGTCAAAATAATGGGATTTATACTAACGTTGCTATGTATGGTAATAACATACCTTTTCCTGTTGGGGATGGTCGGCGCCATGCTGCTGTTGTGCGCGGGTCGCAGCTAGTGTTGCCAGTTCGGACATGTTTACGTAGAGAGCTTGGGGCATTTCTGCAAACAAAAGCAACAAAATTATTTATAGATAGTTGCGGGAATCAGGATCTTCTTTACGTACAAATTCTACTTATGATAAGTACAATCAAAGGGAAAAATATTGTATTAAATATATTAAACCAAAATACGCTTTTTTTAAACGGAGTGTACCGGAGTGTTGGCATTGTCTCTATTGAATGGTGCACAGCAAGCCGTTGCCGTCAAAGAACAAATAAAAGCTTTTTAAATTAAATTACTTCAGTAACATATGACGGTAAAAGTATAGCAAGTTGGCGTTACGGTGGAAGTATTACAAATATAGCTAGAATTTGAATATTAAATTTTAGCTTCTTTCACAATCTATTGATAAAATTGTCGACAGTAACTACATAACTATTTAACATTTTACGAAAACTGAATCAAACCCTGCAAATGTCATTTTAGTCCATTTTCAAAAAGAACACGATTATACAACCACTATCCATTGAAATTACCTTTAGTAAGATGCGGCGGCAGAGAAGAAGGTTTGGTAGGTTTGAACTCGTGATTGGCAGTGTTGGCGTTGCAAGACTTCGTGGGGACCACGGGCCTTTCCAGAGACGAACATCGCTGTGGGAAATAAACTATTATTAGCCGGGAGATTTGGTAGAAGGGGCTTAAAGGTGGAATGATGCCCACCACACTATCAACTGTAGGAAAGCAAGCAGACATAAGGTGGCTTATTCATTCACGGGAAGAAAGTGTGTTCATTTACGGTCTTCGATGTAATAGTTAATAAACGAAATTGCAACACCTTGCCGTGCCGGGATGAATAAGGCGTGCGCCTGGTGATAAGCGACACGCCTGTCCATAACAGTTCCAGTGCCACACAGAACTTTAAATCGCAATTAGGGGTATTGCCACTGCACCCGTCCCGCAGAGACATAAATTGACAAGTCCCATGTGTCTGTAACTTCACCACCACCCTTACCCTTGAAAACCGGAACGCACTAACAGTCACATTACTGCTTGATGGCATAAATAAGTAAGTGCAGAGGCGGATCGTGGGAGATTTTAGTGGGAGTTCACTTACCTATGCATATTCATATTAACTGCCTCCGTGGCCGAACGGTTACCATGCCGGACTGCCACGCAGAGGTCCCATGTTCGATTCCCGGGCCGGGAGAAATACTTGTATGGCCTACATTTATTTCTCTCGTGAGTTTGGGTGTAATTTGTGGTTGTCTATGTGTGTGTCCATGGCACCCGCGACACAGGGTTTCCCTAGTGCGGGGCTATGTTGATTGTGAGCGTTATTATTATTATTATTATATTCATATCTTTATTCCTTGCCACATCGTTACATATTTTAAATAAAAAATGAAACTCACATTATAGTGCTCCATTTTAAACAATGCCACCAAACAACACTACGCTTCTTAACAATGATTGAATAATAAGAATTTTTACAAGACAACAACATGCGCGCGAAAAAAATACGGTTTGCTAAATATTCTCATACTAATCTTTTGTTTCACGTGTCGCGCCGTTAAGAACTGTCTCTTTCGCACAGTACTGAACCTTGTAAACAATGTCGGTTTATAGGAGCGCATCGCGAAGCGCTCCACTCAAGGGTCAGTATGCTATACTATGTTAAAGAGAACGATAAAAATCTAATTGTACGTTTGTCGTTCATTAATAAAAAAAACTGTGGCTGCTAATATAATATGAAAGCATAATTAATAAATTTATTTTGGTGGGTTGGATATGAGTGGGCCGCCTCTGGTAAGGTACTTCCCTGGCCGAACTCTTTCACGCTACTAAAATTAAACAACTTACCTTCGGCACAGCGATAGTACAAATCCGCGTACGTAGCATTGGCAAAAGGCGTGTATCTGGATTAAACCAAATTTTACAGAAGATAGATTTAACGTTGTTACTTTCTTATTTCTTATGGCTGCGACTTCATTTTCGTACAGTAAACATTAATTAATGACGTCTACGGACTGATAACAATAGATTTCCGTAAATCACGCTACTTTGGTTGCCACGGTATATACGCGAATTTGATTTGGTCACTTTCTATTACGATTGCTCCAACATCAACTTCTTCCAAGGTATTCCTCCTGAACCCTTTTCAAAATATAGAGAAATGTTGTGTAATATGGTAAATCGGCGGTAGTTAACATAGTGCTTTTAATGTAATAATAATATAGTTTCAGTAGTAGAGCTCAGAAAAGTTCGTCCAGGGTAGTACTACCACCTTACCTATTTCTAACTTTAAGCAGAAATGTCAGCATTACTGTGTTCCGATTTTGAAGGGTAAGGGTGCTGGTGAAATTACAGGCACATGGGACTGTCAACTTATGTTTCAGAGTGACGGGCGCAGTGGTAGTGCCCCTCAGATCTTTGCAATTTAAAGTGGCGCTATAACTGTTATGGACAGGCGTGTAGCTTGCCATCAGGCGCACGATTTGTTCGTACTGTCACTTGATGTTATAAAAAAAAATTAAAAATATTTTTTACTGTAAATTGCATGACTATTAGAATAAGGTTCTGATGGGACAGGCATGTTCTCTAGAACAAAAGACCTAAAATTAAATGAAGATTTAAAAAAAAAGTTTCCGACGATATGTAATATAAATAAAAGTATATAACTCACTGTAGGCAATGGTGGTCTGGAGTATATTCCTTCTCGAGGCGATGTGGGGACGTCAGTCTCCGATGTGAACGTATGAACGCTCAATGCGGGACGGGGGTGTCCTCTTTCGTAAGCTGCAAGGGATTTATTTGCACTAATTATCTTGGTTATTTCAAATGCTGGTTCTGCCTACATTAGACTCAATTTAATTTAATAAAATAAATTTTTCTACTCCTATATTTCTGTCAATTATAAGTTAATAAACCATATCATAAAGGCGCTAATTTTAGTTCTGAATCAAAGTTCTATAGTCTATGGTACTGGCCACTGAGCTAAAAAAATCCATTAAAGTTCTGTACACAGAACCATAATGAGTTTCAAAAAGAAAATGTCGTATTTTTGCTCATTAAAATATAAATTAGGACGCTACTCAAACGCCATACATTGAATAGGCCAATATGTTGACCAATCATGTTTAAAATATTGGCCTAAAAGTCTTTAAACTGAGGAATATAAATCTTTATTATAAAAAAAAATTGTTAAAATATATAATATGCGGTACTTGGCCAGTTCTATTCATCTCTTCAGTTTTTTATTTATCTCTTCAGTTTTTTGTTTTGTAGCGTTTGTTTGGCTTTCACCTGAATGTATGTATGAAGAGGCTGTATGGTGGAACCTTTGCCTACCCTAATAAAAGGGTTAAAATTTATTTAAAAAAATTGCGTTTCTTGTCATGGATAGGTAACAAAATATACATTAAATATTGGTTCTGTTTCATAATTTTATTTACTCGTAGAAAAAAAAAATACGTGGTAGTAACCCGTTTAGCTCATGGAGGTAGTCTCGATCTCTGATTTTGGAAAACAAAAAAAAATATTGTAAATGTTGAATGAGTACAAAAATGTTATTTACAAAGAAACTCCTAGAGTTTCTTGCTCATTCTTCTCAGGGGATTCTGCCTTACGAATGAGCGGTAGAGTTTAACCAATGTGACTATTTCAAGTGTAATAATGCTTACCTATGAAATAAAGATTATTTGTTCTGTATTAATTCATTATATTAGGTAGGCTCGCCATGGACATACTGCGTTCATTACACGGACCCCAGAGGTCCATGGATCACAGGTTAAGAAACCCTGTATTAGAGCCTTTAACACGGCGTATTTTCTACGTGCCGACGACGCACAGAAATCCTTTGCACACGTTCACAAATTCAGTGGCGTCGTAAACACAAAAAAACTTGACAAAAACTCACCAGCCGATATTGTGTGCGGTCGTCCTCCCATAATAGCCGAAGCAGCTCGTTCGAATTGTGCCGTGTCCTTCAGGTCCGGCCACGTTGCTGATGCTGGAATATGTCGTAAAAAAATTAGAGATAAATACGCTAAGTTTATTTGTAAAGTAGTAACAACTCCGCAAGACTATATCGTACTGTTCATACAATAGTGTATTAAATCAAAAAGTGTATTTTTCAGAATCGATGAAAAACTATATTATGCGCATATCAAAACGCATGGTCAGTGTGTCACTTCCGTAATAAATTGTCAGTCGTTCTTTTTCGCTGAAACGTTGTTTTATTAGAAAGTAATTACTCACTTCCCGTGAAAATTGTTTAAAATTGATCTATTGGTTAAAATTTCTTTTTTACAGACATCTAATCAGTTTTATACTTGAAAAAATAATTTCATATTTTTGAGTAAACAATGTTTTGTCCAGAACGAAAAATTAAGAGGAGATCTTCTAATTGTTTCTTGCTATATATCAACGACGGTCTTATTGACGTGTAGAGAATCAAATTTTACATTCAGCAATACTATTAATCTTGAATTTTACATATTTTGAATTGCACAGTGTGTGTAAGAGCAGTGCGATATTACAAAAATCATAAACAACAATTATCCCTCCGTGATTTTTTTTACGAAATATAATAAATGTAATACATGTTAAGTTTTTATTGTACATCGATGCAATTTTATTCAAATATCGCCTTCAGGACAACGGAACGAGATCCGTCAATGTTTAGCTTGATATTCTGCCGTCCGTACTATAAATTACAATAAGTTCATACGTGCTAGCTTTGCATCGGTCTGAAATACAGCCAGCGCATAGGTTCCCAAACTTTTTGGCTTACCGCCCACTTAGCAAGATAAAACAATTTCAACTCCCACGGAGGGAGGGTGGGAAAATTAACTGCATGAAAAAATATTCAACACAAGCGCAGCTATTTTGCATGATGTAACCTTCACTGGGTTCGCGGAGTAACGTACTTTTTTAATTTTTTTTCACGATCTCTGTCAATTGCTTTGTAATAATGGTTGTTTTTCAATTGAGACATTGAAATATTTCTGGACGACATATCTATTTTCATTTATTAAGTCTTTCACTTTTCTAGGGAAACGAAATGAATCATGTAAACTATGTATAAGAGCATATGCACATGGCGTATTTTATACGCTCCGACGACGTGCGTATACGCATCGTAGACGCGCTTTAAAAGCGCGTATGTATCGCGCATTTTGATAAAAGGTAGTTTTGATTTTAGTTTTGTTTGTTAATTTCAGTTAATTTTTTAAACGAAGCAACTATATGCAGCAAGCTACATGAAATTCTATATAAGCTTCTTCAACTTCTTGCTTGCAACACGATGTTTGCGCACGTTTCAATCGATTCACTATAGCGCGTCTGCAGCACGTATACGAACAGACTACGCACATAAAACGCCGTGTGCAAAGGCTCTAAATGAAAACGCATAAGGGCGCGTTCTCATTATGTCGTGACGACAGATAGTCGTGCAGTTTTAAGTATCGTGGCTTATATATTTAAATGAAGTTGTTCACACATAGAACAACACGATTAACTATCGTTCACGAATTTTTTGACGTTACGACGACAGACTGTGTGTTTGTGACAATGAGAAGAGCTAAAACGACAGTCTTTCGACGATAAATAAAACGTCACAATATAAAATGTGACGACAGATAATCGCAGCTTGAAACGATTCCGTCGTGCAAACGACGAGGCGGCTGCCGTGAATCGATAAGCTAGACACGACAGTCGTTCAAAGATAAAACAAACGTCCACGACACAGTCGCGACAGATAGTCTGCCGTCCGGTAACTAAAAAACTAAAACGCGGCTAAGTGAGAAATGGTCAAATATCCGTTTTAATTATAAAAAGATAGAACTCAAAATTCTCTATTAAAAACAGTTAAAATTAGTTAACATATTCGACTTATCGGAACTTATCCTAACGATGCATACATAAGTGGGTTGGCTTTTTATGATATCTCAATAGTTTAGTCGTGATATGGGAACAGGCTAGAGCGACAGTCGTCCATCGATAAATAACACGTTACGACATAATGGGATGCGCCCTTACAAGTTAAAACAAGAATTCGTTACCTGCGTTGCCAATCCCGTCTCGGTCGTCGTCGCCGTGGTCGATCTCGGTGGCGCTCTTCGCCGGCGTCGTGCACTCGCTGCTCACGCTCTGGTTGTCTGAACCCTACGGCCATTGTCGTATAGTGCATTATTCCACGGATCACCATTATAATTCACGTTGTCAGGTGCCAAAATATGCAATTTGCTATAATTAATTTCACATAGCATGGGACGGTGCCGTTTGTTTGAAGGTTCTAGAGATGAGTGATGTAATAATAATAGAATGAATATATACATGCTGTATATTTGAAAGTGAGACATATTCATAGATGTCATGGTAAATCATGTTACAACTTAACATAGACTAAAATAAAATTAGGATATGGTATAGAACAAAAAATAAATCAACAAAATGCGTTTTGAAATGTACATAGGAATAAACCGTTTCCCTTTACGCATGATTTCGAGTGCAATGGGAATTCTACCAAGCGAGAGCCGAGTGAGACAGCACAATAACAATGATTTCACATTTACGTTTTAGCTTAAGTTAATTATTTTTTACTTGAACTATTATGGAAAAGTTTTACGTACTAAAAAAGATAAGTTTATGATTTAGCAACTAGTTATCGTTTAATAAGAATTGAGGTTTTTGTCGCAGTTAAAAATGTGAAATCAAATTATTTACTATGATTGATTTTTTAGTTATTTATAGTATATTTACACTTATGTGGTACGGAGCAAGTGTTCAAAATGTCCACCGTTTTCCACAATGCAGTCTAGCACGGCATAGTAAATTTTGTTTTAAATTGTATAACACAAACACATTTTGTCTCACAGTATAAAATGCTGAGATAATCCTCTCACGCAACACTTCGACCTCCGCGTAAACTCCGATTCGGGAACATTTCAATAGCTTGCCTCACACTATCACCACTTATTACGTAATGTCGCACCATCTCAGTCAATCCGACGTTAGAATAAATATCCATTTTGCGGCGATCGGGCGAGCGGAAGTACAAATAATTTACGTGTCTTCGTTAGATCAAGGTCGCGCGTGCACTGAGCAATTTCGCGTATGCGCTCGCGCCCCCATTCCCGACCTGTGCTTTGTTTTTCGCCGCCGTGCACCACCCGCCGCTGCGTCGGAGCAATAATAGTGATGTGCATAGATTTCGATAACTAATGTTGTTCTCAAGTAGAAGTCGATAAAAGAAAATAAAAAAATATTTTTTGTAAAGTTTAAGTTCATTACTTTATCATTTCTTTGGGTTCAGAATCAGGAATATAACGCATTCTATAAATATGTCCCATTTAAAAAAAATACAGCCTATAAATACAGCATACAAATATATATATAGATAACAAACGAAAAGAGAATCGATTTAGAGGTAATAATTTAAGAACAAATAATAAACAAAATAAAAATAATTAAATTATTATGTTATTGAGTTCATTAAAAAAATCAACATTAAGCAAACAAAAAGGCGACAACACAACATAGAATTTAACTTAACATACCGTAATTTTTACTTAAATTTACAACCACAACAAATATTGTTTGTTTTTGACACATTGTAACAAATGTATTATTTCTTTTTGTACTTGGTTGACAGATTATTTAAAAATAATATGCGTATAATATAAAAATTGGAGATGTCACCGTGCCCATCCTATGTGATATTCACTATAAACAATATCACCAACTCCATTGATGAGAAAGTAGATTGGTGAAGTCGTTCACATTATGTGACTTAATCATCTAAATAAAGAACATGAAATCCGTCTGATTAAATAATATTAAAAAGGGGCGCTTCTGCCCACTGAAATAACTTCTGCCTACCCAAACAAATAGACAAAAACTTTATATAAAAAAAAGTAAGCCATAAAAATCACAATCTATGTATGGAACTAATAAAGATTGGATTTATTCCCACTAGTTCAATGTAAGGAACTTTTACAATTGTTCCTCGTGGAATTGATTACATGGAATAAACGCAATAAATCACCTATACATTAACGAAGTAAGCCGACTCTACAATTCCATTATTACAAAACAATAATTCCCCATGCTCTTTTCTTCTTCATCTTTTTCCTTTCTATTCCCTCTTCTCTGTTCTACTTGTACTTTATTGCTCTTAAGTCAAAAGACTTACGATAATAAAAAAAGAGACAAAAACGAATCATAAAAACGTAGTAAAAAAAAATTTGTTAAGTAGTAATAATCGCTTAAATTAGGCTTTCACAACGTAACACACTCTTCCTTGATGACAAAGGTAAGTACGAATTCAAATTTTAGCTATTATGTTTATCCAAACAAAATTTTATCACTTTGTTATTTAGTGCAGATTACTTTAAGAAAAAAAAAACTAAAAAACATAATAAAAAAGCGTAACAAGCATACATTGTCAACGTAGAGCGAGCGGCGCTGCAAAGCGTCCTGCGAACGGAAACCAGAATCGGCGCTGCACACGCTCGCCAGCCGGAATGTCGACTAAAATAATAATAATAAAAACAACAAAAAATAAAATAATAAAACCAAAAATATTTACAAAAAAAAAAAATGTTTTATAAAAGTGCAAGAAATTATAAAAACGAAATTAATGGAAACAAAAAACTTGACGAAAATATACATACATAGCCTCCTCTACAAAAGGAGTACATCAACTCATCAATTTGCAGTCCCTGAAGTATAATATCTGTATAGTTTACTAAATAAGGAATTTTCCAGAACTCCCTAACCCCCAGGTCTACTCCGGTTCTCCGACATCACATTAAAAGACGCCATTTGCGAATGAAGCTCCACATGTCAAATATTGTCGTTTTGATATGGTGGAGTATTACTTATTTGACAGTAATTGTTAAGGACTTATGTAGGATGGAGAATGTGACTAGACCCCTAGAATTAAATAAGACATTGGACATCGGGTCCACGCTTAAAAATGTCCGATCTAAATGAGAAACCAATTGCAAAAAAGAGCAACAATCTTGCAACAATCTGTTTGTAGATCAATGAACCATACAGAAGTACCCCTTGTGCCTGGAATTTACCTGCGAAAGTGAGTGCGTGTCGTGCGGTGCTGGCAGCGTGCCGGAGGACGAGGCGTTTGACAGAGGCGTCGAACAGGACACTGTGGAGCTAGACACTGGAATAGAAGACATTACATCAGGCATACGCAGGCATAGGTGGCAAATATCGACACGCAACAGGTTCCCAAAAGAGGTAAGTCAAGTTTAAAGAAAATAACATTTTTACTTGCGTCACAGTATATTTATGAAAATTTAAAATAAAATGAAATAAAAAAAATAAATGGGTATAAATGTTTATTCACATAGGACCCTACAGTTTCTTACTCATTTTTCTCAGGCGAATCTACCTTACGAATGGTTGGTGGAATTACATCAATTTTCGGTTTCAAGTGTAATTTGCTTACGTATGAAATAAAAATTATTTCGGTTTGAGTTCGAATAGGACCTGTAGGGCTGGCCCAACAGGGCTTACCTTGCGCGAGAGCGGTATAAAGCGCGGGATCTCTATAGTTCCCAAAAGAGGTAAGTCAAGTTTAAAGAAAATAACATTTTTACTTGCGTCACAGTACATTTATGAAAATTTAAAATAAAATGAAATAAAAAAAATAAATGGGTGTAAATGTTTATTCACATAGGACCCTACAGTTTCTTACTCATTTTTCTCAGGCGAATCTACCTTACGAATGGTTGGTGGAATTACATCAATTTTCGGTTTCAAGTGTAATTTGTTTACGTATGAAATAAAAATTATTTCGGTTTGAGTTCGAATAGGACCTGTAGGGCTGGCCCAACAGGGCTTACCTTGCGCGAGAGCGGTATAAAGCGCGGGATCTCTATATGAGAATAGCAATATCTCGCGCTTCGTGTCGCTCTCGCGCAAGTCACGCTTCGTTGTGCTAGCCCTATTAGTGTGACATCTACACTACTTTGTACAGAGATAGTTCAATAAAACAACGTTTGGTTATTGATTATTAAAACAAAGATCATTACACAAAAAATTCCTTCGATCCAGCTAGATTCGAACTAGCGTCTTCCAGCAAACCGTGCCAGATGCTATGCCAACTAAGTCACGGAACGAATTAGCTGACCTTACGAATTTTTCTACGTACTTGCTGCAGATCTTTGTTAAAAATCAGTTGTAATGAAATAAGTCGTTAAAAACCAAAGATAAAGATATGCAAACGCAAGACGCACACTATCTAGCTATGCACTAGTGTTACATAACACTGGTCGTCCTAACGCGCCTTTCATTATTATGCGAATATGTGCGTCCGTACGCGTTTCCGCACACATACAAGCCGCGCTGTAATATGGTACGGAGTTGCCCTATTCGTTTGATTCTACTAATGGTTCTAATGGTGTAACGATTTTACCTGCCTCATTTGATGGAGATTCCACAACATCACAAAGCTGTGAACTAGGAAAAGCCATTCTATATTGGAAAAATACAGACCACAAAAAAGGTCATTCGTAAGTCCGTTACTCACTTACCCAAGGCCATTCTTCATAATGCACTAACCCGAGACCAAATAAACAAAAGCTTTAAGTGTTTTTAAAGTCTTTGATTGCTTTTGAATAAACACGACACTACTGCGCCGTGTTTATTGTTAAAACAGACCAATCAAGAAAAAACATAAAAAATGAAAATAACACGAACATTTCTCTCTCATTCTCTCTAGCACACTTGTTGCCAGCTTATGATCTTTGCTCTCACTGCCTTGGGTTGGCTGGAAAAAAATCTCTTTTACAGATAAGTCCACCTTTGTCCACCCTCTACAACAACAACATAGCATGGCTCGTAACCGCGCTGTCCACTTACATATTTTATACAGCAAAATACACTGTTTGTAAAAAAAGTTCACTTTGTATATACATTCATCAATAAAAAAAACGATTTAAGCGTGAATACAAAAACATCTTTTGTCAGAGCAGATGTGTCTCGCAACATATATATTTCCGTAATCAATGCGTTTGATACCTGTAAACCTTAATTTCCGTACCTATATATACTCATATTTGGTGGTATTGTTATAATTTAATATTATATTTGTAAACTTACATTATTATTTATATTGCTTACCTTCATTACTTACACTATTTACATTGTTTGCTTTACATGTTACACTTTTGCTTGATATATAAATATGTATAGTATTTAGAGTTAGGTATATATATTTGCGTGTGATGCACTTTGGGGCCATGGCTTACTGGGCTGTGATCGCTCACCATATGGTACTGGCAGAAAACCAGCACTGTTTGACTTCTCTCGATCTACAGTATTTATGCTGAGTCAGGGCCATTTCAGCACAAACTGTAGTCATAGGTAAAGTAAAATTTTATCAGTTCTTATAGTATTTGTTTGTTTTTCTCACAGTATTTGTTTTTCTCGCAATATGTGTTTTATATAAATGTGTATAAAATTAATAATGAATGTTCTATGTGCGTTTATGTACTCTGTGAAGTGGTTGTAAATGTTTAGTTTCTGTTTGTATTTGTGCTGAATAAACGTGTTATCTATCTATCTATCTATTCCGTTTTGTTTAGAGGCGTATCCGATTAAGATAATAGAGGTGAACTTACCATGCTGGTGCTGAGCACAGGCTGATGAGCTACGTAATAGAGGTGAACTTACCATGATGGTGCTCGAAGCACCATTATGTTGAACTAGGTAATAGAAGTGAACTTACCATGATGGTGCTCGGAGCACTGGCTGTTGAGCGAGGAGATGGAGGTAAGCGAAGACTTGCGGCTGCCGAGACGCGAAGCGGGCGGCGATGCGGGCGCAGAACCTGCGCCGCTCTCCGCCCACATGCTGTGGCACGACTTTATGTCGCAGATAACCTGCCAAATACAAGTTGCAGAATATAAAATTTATTTCATTCATTTTAACTCACCGTTGACGGCCGTCTAATCGCCTTTCACAGCGAATAAACTTGTGCGAGATAAGTACGTTTCTGTACATGGCACACCGTCTTCAACAACCACATTAAAATGATAATTTTTGGGTTTGATTGTTGGCATGTACCGAGGCGTCCCAGTTTTTCAGTAAGGACATTATAACAGCACACTCAGTGTGAACTTAACTTATATCATTTTTGACGATAGATGACTTTGGATATTTATTATTCGAAAAAATAACCGACACATTTTAACTTGCCACTTTTGAATTGAAATGCAATGGCAATGTTAAAGCCGGTGTGCGATGTGTGTACGCGTAGATTCCAAAATTCATGGACCAATTAAATTTACATTTATGATGATGAGTATTCAAATGCATTATTAGCTTTATCCACATTCAGAAGGCTATTTAAAAATAGCTCCATTAACTCATCCCACCCGCACCCTTTTACCATTCAGACGTACGGTGGGATGTCATCCTTACTTGGTCGATATTTCCTTCAGGCGTACTAAGCGCTTTTGTCATCTTTTATTATACGCACAGTGCAGGAATAGAATTCCCTGCCTGCGACTATGTTTCCGAGTACATACAACTCGAGTATCTTTAAGGTGCGACTGAATAGACATCTTCTGGGCGAGCTCGATCCATCGTACGTCTTAATCTTTGCTCCCGGGCTAGGTAGTATTCAAGAGCAAGTCCATTCAATAAAAAAAAGAAAGAAAACAATAACTGTGTAAGCTGTGTGCAAGAAATACAGTTTTGCCCTAAGAGTGCTCTGTAAATACCATCGAGTATAAAACCAGAAATAGAGACGAAATGTCATTAAATTTGTTTAAAAAGTATTCTGCTAAATCATTACGGTGACAACTGCGCTCCGATTGGCCAACCCGAATTCGAAACAATGGTAAGATGTCAATTCAATTGTTTCACTTCAAATGACCAGTTTAACTTGAGCTTTGCTATAATAGACGGTAATTGAAAAATTATATATTTAATATTTAATTACCGATGAAATGTGATTCCGTTTGTTTTGTAATTAGATGATTTGCTGTTTTTCGTACACCACCGAATGGAACAGCCCCGCATAGTTAGTGATATTATCTTTATTACAATAAATACAGAAAATTTTTGGAGACGTACACAGAGGTCAGTTGTTGGCGCTGTACTATTTCAGCTTTCTAAGTTGTGATTTCAGTTCAAATAACAGTTGATATAAGGCCCATTTGCCTACTGAGTTGCCAGGGATGGATGGCCATTATTTACCCTACATGAAGGACAGATCAAAAATAATGTCCCAAAATGTTTATTTATTTAACCGTTTATTGAACAGGAAAAACACACAAACCACATTAATAAAAGGAAAATACAAAGAAAAGGTTCTGATTAATTATAAAAGAAATTTCTTCCTGCAGACCTACATTAGAACGTAAATTATGTACATTACGCCTGTCTATGTACTCCTCTTGCTACGTAGCAAGAGGAGTACATAGACAGGCGTAACATTGGGTTTAGGTTAGACAGTCTACCTGCAAACTGGCAGCAGGCAGGGTCCTCGGTTCAGCAATGTGCCGTGCGAGTTGCTCTGACCCCTCCTGCAGGTGGCCAAGCTCCGCTAACATTGCCACTTCACACTCCTGCAAAGAACATGATACCAATTAACGCAGTGGTACAATTTGTTGCTCCATATTGTGAGCATTGAGAAACCTGTATAGATAGATTACGAAAATTCAGTCAGCCAAGAGTCCATTAGACGTAGTTAAACAAAAAGGATCAAATGCACATCCAGTTACTTTCGAGATGTGGCAGTTTGAAATTTTATAGTGTTTCTCACTCTTGTTTTATTTTTAAAACTTATAACGATATGTTTACATGTTGGACTTTTTTGCTGATCTAAGAGGTTAGACTTTATCTGTTACTCTGTTATTCTGTTAGAAACTGTTTGGTACATATATCTCATTTTTTGATAATTTTGTTGATTGGGTCCTTTTTGCTTAACTACGCCCAATTAATTATGACTTAAATACCGCTGCTGAAAAATGCACGTGAATAAAATCATTGTGTTGTATTGAGGTGTCTCGAAATTAAAGTTTTATTATATATGTCGAACCTACAATGCAACACTGTAGCACCAGGTGTTTTAACAACTAACTGAATAGCAACAAATTTATTAAAAAATCAAAGGTAACGCCATCTATCGAAATCTTATGCGAACTAAACTCACAACTGTCTTGTGAGATTTTATGATGCCGTTGATCTACGTAACTGTCTTTAATAACTAGCTATGAAAGATTTTTCCATCACTGTTACGTAACCAGTCATCAAAAAGGAATACTTAATCTATATTAACAACTCCAGTAACCAAACTGGATGGATATTTGTTCTTTTCATAACTAGCTACGGAAAAGCTTACTTTTCGTAACCAGATATGAAAATCGATGCTGAATCTATTAGTGGTCCAACGATTACGAATGGACTTTTATTTAAAAGAACATCTTTAAATAATTGTTTCTTATTATAAACAAAGATCTCACCACCACCGGGTTGAGCAGTGACACGAAGTGGCAGAAGCGGCTCCGCTCCTCGATGAGCGCAGCTTTTACTGCTTTCTCCTCCATCTCTTCCAGCTGTTGCTTTCTCTCTTGGACATCCTGGAAAAAACGGCATGACGTCATTTACAAACGTTTTTTGTTTTGCTGAACAACTGTCGGATTTCTTTCAGTAACGACTTTTAGAACCCTAGGAAATGAAATTATTTTTCCGGATTTAAATCGCGTATATTTGTTTTTTCAAACAAACCCGTTTTAGAAACCTTTTCTGCAGTGCCATTTGAACAATTTCTAATCCTTCCCATGGTCTTATCAACTAACAGGTAGGTTCATACTTGCTGTGTGCTCTATTTAATACGCATTTGTTGATTGCTTAGAATGTAACTCTAATAAATAATAATGCCTTTATCACATCATCAGTTAATAATAGATGAATACTGGTGGAGCTTCCATACTTGCTATGATCTCCATCGCAGACATATAACTAAATAGACGCCGCAAGTGTACCTACTTCGCGTGCCCAATGGAAGCTATAAATGCTTAGTTACCGCTGCTACGCTTCAGAACGCGCCCGGCCGTTATCGTGGTTAAACATCAGTGGAAAACGCGAAAAATGCCTAATACCGTGCCTTTAGAAACTGCAATAATACCACAGTTATGAATAGATGAATAAACAGGAACGTTTCCTTGTGAAGAATATGCATGCATAATCTATTTTTAAATCAATTATTTTAATTTTTAATGAATTTCGAAATAAACAAATAGCAAACTAGTGTATGCACATATTCGTAATACATTGCGGCGTTTACTTGATGCGGTGAACTTGTCGTTCTTCTTTAGTATATAAATATCGAACGAGCGATAGTTTCGTATAATGCATTCAGTTTCGTGGTACGGCCGCTTCGTCATGTCTTTGGTCAAATTAAGATTAGTGATGATGATTTCCGATTCTAATCGATGTAGAAAACAAAGGCATGACAATTCTTAACTTTAGAAAACGTTAGAAAGATATTCTATAAAATTTGTTGTTTTTTTTATTAACATTTCCGGAGCAACTCTTTTTTTAAAACACGTATTCATAAAGGACTTAATTATCTTATTCTGGTATTATTACTATATTCACATTTGACGGCATCTTATACTCAATAAATACTTAAACAATCGTTTTACTAAATACTCGTACGTGCTGCGTCCGAGCTTTCGATTTAATCAAGTGTTTTTGTACCGATTGAGGTTTCCCATCACTAAATAGCGTTTGTGACGTCATCGTAGGTACAAAAAATGTAGCACTCTTGGTTTTCATACAGATCGCAGTACGGTGTGCTCTCCATACTTGACAGGTTCGCTAGCATTCGTCGAAGACTGTACTTCTTCAACATTGCTCCTATAATCCTACGATAACCAAAAGAATACACATATTGTACGAGAACATTCTACAATTGCAACAAACAATTCAAACAAACAACAACAAGTAATAAGGGTGAACAGCATATTTTTTTTTTATATTCAAGCAATTAGTCCGCGATTTCATATTGTCGTCTCAATCTACATCCCATTAGTCTGACATTGTTATATATAAATATATATGTGTATGTATTATATATTATGTATTTATGTGTATATAGGTTCATATAATATTATGTGCTATATTTATATTGTGTTTAAATTATATATCATAATTATTTATAAACTTCTTCCTATCTGTTTTAATTATCATGTTATGCACATCTGTTAATTATTTTGAACCCAGCTCTCCGGTTGACTGGTAGAGAATGCCTAATGGCATTAAGTCCGCCATTTGGACTGTTTTGTGTGCAATTAAGTTTAAAAAAATAAATAAATATTTATAGCCCTTACATTTGGTCCTTCGAGCTGGATAACCAAAATGTAGAGCGTGCTCGTGTACTTATGTGGAAAATGAATAATTTTCTCGGATAGATGTTTTTTCAGACACACCAACATTTCAATTACAGATTCCATTGCATTCTGACACTACTGCCACGTAATGCCAGTCTGGAAACTGACGGCGCATCCTCATATGTTTCGGAGTCAACCGGATCCCAAAAAACGAAGAAATTGTAAATAAATATACAATGAAAGATTTAGCACTATATGGACACACGTGTCGCTCATAATTAAGAAAAAAAGTTGTTAAACATGATTTGCAAATTCATTGTAAATAATACGGCCTTTTCCATAACGAGGCAGATTTAATACGTCAGGTCATCGCCATGATACAGGCATTAACAGAAAAAAACCATAAAGCTTGTTCAAGAGTTCATCTTGTTTTTTCCTCTCGAGTTGCAAATATCTTCAAGCCTACGTCATGTTTAAGAGTCTATATTACCTCAAATGGCTTTGCTCGAGGCAGCATCACAGTGAAAGTGTGCACTTTCATTTAATATATTTTCTTAACATTTAAAGAAAATATTCTATGTTTAAGGGTTGTTTTTCACCCATTTTCCGTTAGCAGATTTTAATAAAACTTGGCATATTGATGTAATTCTAATGAAAATAAAACGGCGAAAACGGATAAGCAAATTTCTAAGGGCAGTTTTTTTAAGGTCATTGAATGCCACGCTGTTTTACTACCTAGATATTCAATTTTATTTTTTTGTGAAATTACTCCACTACTTTGTTTTATTTATAACAAAGATCGAACACTTAGAAATAAATCATTATATCCGGCTCGATTTGAACCAGCACCCTCAGGTAATCCGTGCCAGATGCTCTGCCAATTAGGCCACGGAATGAATCAGCAAACCTTACGAAGTTTTCTATGTGCTATTTTCTATGCACAAGAGCTCGAGCGAATTTAAGTAACGAAATTGTGCTATCACAATGAACTTTATGTCAATAGTGTACAAACTAGATACGTTACCGTTACGTACAAACTAGACCATCGCTTGCCGAAGGCGACCATGTCGCCAGTGTTGCCAACTTAGCAACTTTGTCGCCAGATTAAGCGGCATTTTGACATCAAAAGCGACATTTTATTTGTATTTAGCGATAAAAAGATGGAGAGTTTTTTTGGCGAATTTGGCGATATTTGGTTTCAACTACGATCTTAAAACTGAATGAATTAAATTAATTTAACTGTTTGAACAATTTTATCATAAATCACTTTGCGAATGCGCTTTTCAAATACGGTGTCTTATTTCAGGTATATTGGTCTATTGTCTGTACTATGACCATAGTTCTTGCCAATGAGATGGACCTTATAATTAGTTATAAAGAGTAGATTTTGAGTAGATCTTTTATATGGAGTGGAAATGCAGTTTTAGCGACAACTAGCGACTTGTAATTGTTGTATCTAGCGACATTAAATTGTTGTGTCACATCTAGTCGCTTAGGCTCAATTTACTTCGCGGCGGAACGGAAAGCTAATTTTTGTAACGAAATTGGACATAGCAAAATGAACATAGTCAATTGTGCAACGTACAAACTAGATACAAGCCAAAAAAAACAAGTCGCGCGTCTTCCGGCGAATTCTCGCGAAAGCTCGGGCATTGTGGCGTCAAACGTAAACGGTGTACTACAGTGTCAATGCTCAAGCATTCCAGCGATCACGCGCGCCTTCTCGCGCAGCGACGCGAAATTGACGATTTCGTTTCAATCCGTTCCGCGGCAATATGAAGTGAGCCTTACGTATTTACACCGGGTAGCTAGCCGCCTTTAACACATTTAGGCCAGTTCGACAACTGATATAAATGTGCCCTTACCTACTACCCGATTAGTGTAGCCAGAGAATCGCGTTACGTAGTTACCTGCATGCAGACATCAGCACGCCTTTTGGCGTCCGGCGGCGCCCGTCGTGCCTTGCGCGCGTGCCTCTGCGCGTCAGTGGCGCGCCGTCGCAGCTCTGCGCGTGCGCGCTTGCACTCGCGCGCGTGCTCGCGGCTCAGCGCGCCCGTCGCGCAGGAGCCGCGGCGCCAATCCTCCGCGCGCTCAGACAGGGGTGTTATCAGGGTGTCCATTAAAGCTCTGCAAATGGACGAAAGAAATTTATCTAAAATTAAGTTTTTGATACTTATTGTCACCATATTTATCGACACGGTAAGAACGAGACCGAGAAAACCCCGACGCGCTCCAGGTGATGATTCCGCGTAGGTAAATAAGTGTACTAACTCCCTAAATGAACTTGTATCAAATGATACCAGGTTGATGGTTAGAACAAATGATGCGAAGATGCTCTGTCTCTTTTTAACCGATTTCAAAAAAGGAGGAGGTTCTTAAGCCGATTACTCCGATACTCGTGAACCTATTTCGATGATTCTTTATTTGTTGAAAAAGGGGTAAGTCAGTTTTTTTTTGGTCCTATTCAAATTTGAACTCACGTGATGAAGCTCTTCATCCTGGTCTCAATGGCTCTGTGACGGAGACACACCCTGGTGAGAGCTGTGCCGATCTCCTTTGTTGCTCCTGAAACAAATAAAATGAATACTATGAGTAAAATGCCGTCTCAATTTAAACAATAACATTTATGATAGGTTTACATAGCTACTTTGTCTGTGATCTGAGCAATGTCGGTAGTGTCTATACAGGGTTTGTCTTCCTTCAAGAAAAGGTTGACATAGCGTCTTCTTGCTGATGTTATATCAACCGATGCAAACGATATCATTTCCTTCCATTAGAACACCGACGTACAATAAGTGATATTTCTTACCTAATGAGCGTTGCTCGTGGCTCTATAGACTGTCCGGATTTAGTTAATAAAATACAGCTCCGTACTAATACAAAAAGCCTCCGTGAACGACCATTGCTGAATATACCTTTGGTTAGAACCAATTACAGACAAAATTCCTTTGTATTGCGAGCCTCCTCTGCGTTTAATAAATGGTGTGTGGACTGTGATCTTGATCTGTTTTGTACTGGTATAGCTGCAGCGAAAAGGCGTTTAACTTTAAAAATCTTTGAATGTATGTAGCATCAGATATGATAGTTGTAGCATCAGCTGTTTTTGTTAATTTTTATATGTGGGAACTCATCATCAGAATTCGATTATTTATTTAATTTTCTAAGTGATTGTTTGTCTGTCAGTTCTCCGACAAGAAGTTAAATAAATAAATAAATAAATAAATAAACTGTCTCTTTTATCGACTTCAAAAAAGGAGGAGGTTCTCAATTCGACCGTATTTCTCTTTTTTGTGTGTTGGTTCATTTTTGTTAGAAAAATTGCACCAAAACTTAAATGTAACCAAGTAACAAACCTTTGAGCTATATAGGTATATGAGTCCGGGAAAATCTTACTAGCGCGATTCAAAAATTACGTACGAGTAAAACATTACTAATGCCATCTAGTATTAACAAAAAAAAATTAGCAGAATGTTAACTAAAATGACTCCTATGTATAAAAATAAGTAATAATGATTATGTTTACACAAGAAACTAAAAACGTGTAATGGTGAACATTGCGCGTTTTGCGCTTCTCCTATTGTAGTTTGTTGGTTCTCAAGAGGTTAAATATTAACATTTTTTTCTCAATACAATAAATGATAAACATACTACAGTCTAAAAAGCTTTGGGTAATTAATGAAAAGTAAACAAACATCAGCTGTTACTTGGTTAACCGGCCAATTACAACATTAAGTAGTGAGTTTCATAAATCGTATCACTGCTGTACTCTATAATTTAGTCGCATGTTATTAGCTGTCATCTTTTCAAAGGCTGGATTTTAGGTTGTTTATCGTAGGAAAGTTGTGATGCGTGTTATTAAACATCTTAATTAAATATTATATTATATTATATTATATTATTTAGTACTATTAAAATAGGTAGTTCGAAATGTTGTCTATTACCTGAAAATATATTTGGAATAATTTTCAAAAAGTTCATTATAATTTTACAATATTAATATGTAACCAGTAATGCCTCATAAAATACAGCATTACGATTTGTTTACATTTAGGTACGTAAACCTTTATAGTATAAGTACTATTTATGTATTATAATATGAAGTATGTGTTGGTACCGTAATTTTTTTTTGACGCCGGCTTCAAGTGTGACTGGGCGGCTAACGGAGGAGGTCCGACAAACGGTATTTTTTTGTTTTAACCGATTATGTTACTTTAAAAAGATTATCAAGTAACTGTTTGTACAAGTCGTGAGCCTTGCGGTTAGGAACACGTTATAGGTAACAGTAGTGGCAGGGCCTCTGCACTGCGCCCGCCACTCTGACCTCAAAGTTGGCACATGCCCCGCGCGTAATAACAAACACTAACTTGCAAGCGCATGTTGTGCAAGTATCTTTTTGCCGATCTTCTAGATTAAGACCAGCGCCAGCTAATGCATCACACGGGTGCAATCAACACCCTGGCGCCCATTAGTAGGCACTCGATCAAAATGGAATACACAGTTACATTTTCCCCACTGGTCAAGAATGCGGGCGCAAATGATATACTATACTAGACTGATATACTAGACTGGAAAAACGCCTCGATCAGACCTTCTGTTCTCCTTTTAAATGTTTTAAATTTGAAATTAGAATACGAGTACATAAAAACTGGCTTTTGTGTTTGTTGCATCGTACTACATTAAATAAATATTAATTAATATTATGTATATCTATGTATATCCTTTTAAATTAATTTTTTTTTTATTTCTTGAACAAAATATAAAAAAACTAAGTTAAATGTTGTTAAGTTTCCGCAATTACTATAAATGTTGGAAGTAAAACTATTATTTCAAACTAAAAAAAATAACGTATATTTGTTTTATGAAACACACCAACGTTAAGGCTTTTTAAAAGTGCCATGGTCAAAGACTATCAACCAAAACAAAAAGAAAAAGCGATTTTAGGATACGAAAAAAATAGTTTCATTTGCAATGTATATAACTCGTGGTTTAAATCGAAATTGAAACCAAATCTTCCGTTCGACATGAAAATAATTAATAACCAATATAGATAACGGAATGACTTTACCAATGTAGAAGCTATAATACACACATCACACAAACCTGTTCCACCTCACATATTAATAATTTATTTTTCCTTACACACGTAATCGAATATTTTAAATCGTTATCCTCATTAAAATAAAGACGAGATCCACCGGCAGGTTGATTTTCATACAAAAACTTAAATAATTTACTGCTAACGTATATTGTATTCTGCGGACTCGTATTGGTAGAAGGCACCAGAGTTCGGTGGACCGCCATCACTAGCGGACGTTTAAAAAAAAACAAAAGTTGTATTTGATATTGCAAAATTATACCTTGTGCGTATATCCGAAATGTAAAATGTATTCGTTTATGTTAATATTGGTTTTGGTGATCTCGTATGTTTGTTTTGCGGAAGGCCGTAAGTTTTCAATTCTATTTAATATTTTTTTTTCTATTCTATAATGTGGCATTAAAACAGGTATCCACGTGTACAGTGTGTCGAGGAAGTAATACAGATAAAAGCAAAAAGAGCATTTTAAGAAAAATCTGCCTTAGATGAACACAGACAAATACAAAGTCATTCAGACATTCGTCTTTAACTGTGAATATAAACACGAATGACACAGGTTAGGCTTTGTGATCGAAACTTATTTACAGGGTCAGTACATAGGTAGGGGAGAATCGGCTATATTGTACCACTTTTGCCTTAGACTCGGATATTCAGTTTGTGAAGAGACTTGCAGAGATGAACGAATACGCACAATAAAGTTCAATATATCGAGTTCTTAGGTTTTCGCGATTGTTACACATAGGAAATGAAACTATTTTTCCGGATTTAAATCGCGTATATTTGTTTTTTCAAACAAACCGACGTTTCAGCGAAGTATTTGTACCCGCGTCAAAGAACATATAGCTGATGTCAATCACAGTCGCGTAAACAAGTCTGCAGTCTGCGAGCATGTCATAGATAAACCTACATATTCAATGAAGTTTGACAAACCCCAGGTCCTTGCAAAAGAAGTCCGTTATCTACCCAGGATGCTGCGAGAGGCCATTGAAATTAAAAAACATCCTAATTTCAACAGGGAAGATGGTTTCTCCGTACCACCAGTTTGGGATCCAGTATTTCCTCTAATGAAAAATCCCAAACAGACATAAGACTGCAGTACTAATTAATATGTTTTAGTTTATTTTAATTTCTATTAATAATTAATAATAAATTAAACTTAATAAAAATTCATTGAATAAAATAATTTGTAAAACTTAATGTAGCGTAAATTGGAATGCTTTCTTTGTAAAATTAAAAATAAGGTATTTAATTAATAACTATTGTAACTATAGTGAAAAAATAGGGTGGTTTGCATTAATATTAGACATAACTGGTTGAAGACTGTACCACCTCAGTCAACCGTGACCATGGGATCTGTAAAGGGCCCGAAACGTCGGTTTGTTTGAAAAAACAAATATACGCGATTTAAATCCGGAAAAATAGTTTCATTTCCTAAAATTCAATTTCTTGGCCACCACGGACAGGGAAATCAGTGTCTTACTTTTACTATAACATCGCAAAACATGTTTTTGCGGAAGTTTGCCATCGGTACGGTTTACCCGACTAGTGAGTTTAAATCGTACCACAGGAATTAAAATCGTACCAGGAGAAAAAAAAGACCAAACTTTTAATAAAAATATTAATTTTTGGCATCATTAAACAATCAAACGTCAAGTCATATTGTTAAAAGATCAAACAAAACTGTGTATTATATAAAATCCACTTAAATTTAAGATCAAAACGACTGTAATATTAGTGGAAACAGCTATCACAAATGTCTGGATTATAAGTGCATGTCTCATGCAGCCACCTTTGACAACGAACACATTGAATCCAGTCCACTTTTGGACTCTTCTTATCGTAGTAACAACGATTGCATTTTGCACAAATATTGTCCATTTCATCATCTGTCTCATCATTGTCATCCAATTGTACAATGACATCATTATTTTCTGAATCATCGCTGCTGGTGATGGAAGGTGATCGTTTTCTTTTCCTTCTCCCTTGACCGCAACTTTAATGTTATTTTCTTTGTTTGCTCGTTGATCGCTCTTCGGTCTAAAAACTTTTTCTTTTTTTACTTTTATTTTAGTTTTTAATAACAATTTAATAATAATAAGTTAATAATAACAAAATCCGTTTTTTGGACAATAGAAATGCTCGTGCATAATTTGTTCGTTAAGGAAAGCTCTATTTTAATTGAATGCCATGAGTTTGAGATTAAATATATTATGCTAACACTGACCATAATTGGACACCTCATATGTACCCATGACGCTTATTTACAGCGTTTGATGGATAAGCTTGGATTAAATCCCGTCATTTTTCACTTGTGCATCTACATTCCCAAATCCCGTCAACAAGCTCTTATATCGGTTACTTCTTTTCTAGAAATAAGGTTTTAAATATATACAGACAGTTACTACAAAGCAATTTTATTTGGATGCAAATAAAGTAAATTTTTATTTCAAACTTAAATTCGTCTGCAAACGGTAGGAAACGCTCCACCGCCTTAATTTTAAAAAAAAGCGGTTTACACCACCTTACGACTAAGTCCTTAACCTTCAACCTAAATCTAAAATTCAGTAATCACTCCAGGGTCAGCATGCCTGACGCCGTTGGGCGCTCCTGGCACTTGCATCTCTCTGTACGACTGCAGCGAACTTTTAAGTATCGTGAATAAAGGTAGTAAGTCTGAAGAAGATATATTGACCTTAAAACACTCTAGTTGCGGATATGACGGGACCACACCAAAGGTAAGTGGTATGTGTGGGAACTTTGGCTGAACCCCCATTCTTCAGAGGAATCCACTTCGTGGTACTGATACCAGAGACGATAGATATCGCAATGTCTTGAATAATTATAATAAAAATAAAAACCGATGGTCCACGTCGAGGTTTTCGTCATTAGAGCAAATAAATGTCATTATCAGCTAAACAAAAAAGCAGGAATCACATTACATTAGCCTATAATGCATCTTCCCGAACTGAGAATTTGTCATCTCCAGGCTTGCTAATTGGTGATCGCAGTAAAGCTTCAATCGAACATTTTTTTTTATGGTAACAAGTGACGAGACAAACAAGTCGTGCGTCTAACCCCCAGACAAGACAAGACAAAGACTGATAAGTTGACAAGTCTCATGCCCCTGTGATTTCACCAGCAAGCACCTTTACGATTCAAAACCGAAAAACAGTTACGCTTACGTTAATACGTTAATGGTAGGCGGCAGAAATAGGTAAGGTGGCAGTACTTCCCTAGACGAACTCTTTCACAAGGAGCTCTACTGCTACTAAATATATTTTAGAGCCACATATTATAGAGTTGCAAGGACAGTGATTTCTTTACTGTCGTGATATTTACTGTCAAACAAGGTACTTCAGATTCTTCGTTTCTATTTTCAGGTATGCTGTCCAGGAGAAAAACGGACGAGTAACACATGCTTGACGCCAGACGGTCAGCGGGGCGAATGTGTAGGCCTCTATATGTGCAAACATATCTCGGATATGGTCAAGCCACCTGTCTCGATGGAGACTATTACTTTCGTCCAGAAGTCAAGGTGAGCTTACTCTTAACGCCCATTCAAATTTGTCCGCCACTGGCCCTCTCATATGCAAGTGCATATGAGAGGGCGGATTTACAGTCTTGGCCGCCGTAGGCACCAGGCCATGTAGTCAGTACCAGCATCCGTTCAGTACTTTTTGAATTTATCGCGATCAGACAGACAGACAGACAGACGAAATACATTATAATACATTATAGATATGTAACATATCTGTATTTTATACATGAAATGTACGAAAGTGATTTGGAATATTATTGTTATACGATGTGGTGCAGTGCGGCCCGCCACGATGTGCGGGAGCCTTTAGAATATTTAAGTACTTTGAGTTATTTCTAGTTATCATCAGTGAATTTTTGTCACGACTGGCTGACCCTAAAATGGCCGCCCGGACTGGGCCTTAGAGCTAATCCCCCACTGCAGAGGACAAATTTGAATGGAAATAGGCAGCTTAAGGGGCCCAAATCTGCTAATTTTCTTGAAACCAACGGTTATTCCAATTCTGTTGAGACTCCACGTAGACTATATTGCAATTATGATAATATTTGTGATTCTTATAATATCTACTTCTTGCAATGGTAGTTTAGTCGCAATAGCAATGGCATTCATTCATTTAATCACTGACTATCGACGTTGCCTGCCTAAAACTGCCATGGAAATGACTATGTATTTATCTCGTATAATTAGCAATTTAGTCTTCAAATTAAACGTATCTTTTTATGTGAAATAATTAATAGAGTACGCCATAGACTTCAGACATTAGGTAGAGAGAGACGACGGAACGAAACAAAATGAGAATGATGAGACAAAAGAATTAAAGAACGATTCAAAATTCAAAAAATAAGTGGCCAGGAACCGGAGGAAAGGTGATAAAAGGGTGGGATGACGACGAAAGAGGTCGCATCGTCACATAGCCATTTAATATTACTACACTACGCTATCGATGTGCCATCCGTCGCCTTTGAAGACCGGAATACCAAAAAAATTGCAATGGTAGTTGAATAGTAGCTCGATAGCTGGCCACTGACAAGATACTACTCGTAACTTTTGGCAGAATACCAAACTGACAAAATGCTGCAATTGACATTCTACCGAAATTCGACTTCGGGCCTTGGCATATTCGACAATTAAGTATTTGCTATAATCGATATGAAATGGGTGTCAAAAATGGTACACAACAGGGAGATGTACGCTCCTTGTTTTATCTGCATTTTGTCTAATGGTGATGTTCAAATTCAAATTCAAAATAATCTTTATTTCATAGGTAAGCATTATTACACTTGAAATCGTCACAATGGTTATACTCTACCGCTCATTCGTAAGGCAGATTCCCCTGAGAAGAATGAGCAAGAAACTCTAGGGGTTGCTCTTTGTAAATAACATTTACAATGTTTTTTTATTTTTTCAAGCGCGCAAGTGTCCAAGTACGCAGAAGTTGTATAATAACCTTTAGTATAAAGTTTTTGTTTCACTATAGTTTTAAACCTCGTGAAAGGCAAATTTTGTATATCAACCGGAATCTTGTTATAGAAGCGTATACATTGTCCCTTAAATGATTTTTTGACTTTGTGAAGACGACTATCAAGAAAAGCTAGTTTATTTTTATTCCTCGTATTAATGTTATGTCTGTCACTACCTTCCTTTTAACATAAATTACATTTTCATAAATGTACTGTGAGGCTAGTGTAAGAATGTTAATTTCCTTAAACTTATCTCTCAAAGATACTTTGGGGCCCAGATCGTAAATTGCCCTAACTGCACGTTTCTGCAGGACAAAGATTCTATTGATATCGGCGGCATTACCCCAAAGCAAAATGCCGTATGTCATTAGACTGTGAAAGTAGCTGAAGTAAACTAATCTAGCGGTTTCGACGTCTGAAGTGAAATCTGAATGTTCATTGTCTGATTACTCCTGCACTGGTATTTAGTTAAAAGAATATCAAATTTTATTAAGAACAGGATACATCATAATAGACAAGTGTAGTGGATACAACATACAAGTAAAATAATCTTCACGAAAATCTTCCGAAAATTAGGCCGGGGCGATGAACCAACCTAAGACCGGTGCAGTGTGTAGTCAGCAATGGAAAATAATATGGCTTGACAACACACAGTCCAAAGTCTTACACTCAATGATTTCTAATTTCCAGATGTACGGGCCCTAGCCACTACAGCGTGTGCTGCGGTCTACCAGCAGACTCAACAACCACCAATAAGCCTACTACAGGTGTCAGCAGTGTTTGTAACACACGTGGTATTCCGTCTCCTGGCTGTTGTGGGAAGCATTCTGCATTTTTAGACAGGATTACTGGTAAGTATTATTTCCTATGATATTCTAATAAAGGCGAGATATTTCAACGTTGAGAAGCGCCCGATGGCGATGATCGATGGTCTGTAGTAAGTACTTAAAGAGAAATATTACGATACCTCGTAAGTTATTGTCAGTAATAAACCATTTTTTGCTTTTTAATTTAAGTATATCATTTTTTATGTACAGGGTCCGGCAAAAAAACCTCCCTGATTTCAATAGGCATTTGCAAAGAGAATAAAAAACAAACAGAACAATTACGTATATTTGTGAGTAGCCTATATAATGCCATTTTACATCACTTAGTACACTTTACTTGGTTTTGAAAATTATGTCCGATAAATGATGTCCGCCATTGTTAAGACATTCACGAAGTCTTTCCCTGAAGTTGTCCATAGTTCTTCGTGTAACTTCCCTTGGAATGGCTGCCACTTCCTGCCTAATGGCATCTTTTAATTCTTGCAGAGTTCTGGGACGATGTTTGTACACTTCAGCCTTTAGGTAGCCCCACAGAAAGAAATCACAAGGTGATAAGTCGGGTGACCTTGGGGGCCAGGAAATGTCTCCTCTTAAAGAAACAAGACGTCCAGGAAACAACTCTTTTAACATTTCCATGGGCCGCCGAGCAGTGTGAGCTGTGGCTCCGTCCTGCTGGAACCAAACTTCTTCTTCCTCATGGTCTAAAACAAACTGGTTGATCTTGGGTCGGATCGGGCCAAGTTCGAATCGAATCCGAAACGCGCGTTGAGTAGAAATCACAGAACCGCCATTTTGAATAAACTCCTCCACAACAAACGCGCGATGCTCACTGAGCCAAGCCATGACGCACACTAAAATGGCACGTACTCCGCTACGAAACAATACCCCCCAACATCTCTACTCCCACTACAACTCACGCGGTGGCTTGCTCAAACCGGGGAGGTTTTTCTGCCGGACCCTGTTATAGGTTCCATATTTCAAAGTAAATAGATCACAGTATGTTATGTTTAATTTCAAACATGGATCCTATAATATACATAAAAAAGGTGTTTATGTCAAAAATAAAAAAAATGTATTTTGACTTACAACAACTTACGTGTGAGGTAGCGATCTTCATTTAAAATTATGTACAAAGTTACTTTTATTCTAAAATAATTCGTTGCAGACTGTTATTTTAGTCGGATAAAGTAAATCCTATAGCATATTCTCTAGACAATATCCTTAGGTGTATTGTATATTTTTATAAGACGGTTATTTAACAGAAAATACATATATTTGATCTAGCAAAACAGTTTTCCCGCTACTCCTCCGGTGACTCCCCTAAACACGTTTGCCCACATTGTCAGTAGGAATATCAACAAGAACAGGAAGGATAAAGAAACAGCCTCATTAACTTTGAATTCATCCAATCACCACAATAACTTTATTTTAAATAAGAAATCCAGCATAAAAAAGCAATGTGGATTATCGGAGTATCATCAAACGTTACCATGATAATTATCATTAGTAAATTATCATTAGTAAAACCACAGCTACTACTAAACAAATCCCAGACAAGTCCCACGTGCCTGAATTTCACCAGCACCCTTACCCTTCAAAACTGGAAAGCAGTAATGCTCATATTACTGCTTGGCGGCAGAAATAGATAAGGTGACTGTACTTTCCTTTTCCCCTCAGATCTTCGCAATTAAAAGCTCCGAGTGGTACTGTAACTGTAATGGACAAGCGTGTAGGTTACGTCAGGTGCACGACTTGTTCGTTCCGTCACTTGATGTTGTAAAAAAAAGAACTCTTTCACGAGGAGCTTGACTGCTTATATAATGACAGTACATTATAATAATAAGTAATGAATACTAGAATAACTGTCCCCCCAGAGAACTGGCCTGCTCTGAATACCCAAACCGAAACCGATTGGCAGAGTTCATTTTCTGAATTGAAATCAGAAATCAAATTCGAGATTGCATTTCATCAAGTGGCAGCTAAGTCATAAAGTAAGGCACTTGGAAGATTCTAAGAAATTTTTTCAAGCCAAACTGATTTAAAAAAAGCTCGGAGTGCTCAATAGAGCAAAGCACTACTTCTCACCAGGTCACCGACTTTTGATATATATAAACACAAGTACAACCCCATATGGAGTATTGCTCGCGTCTCTGGGCTGGAGCTACCAAATACTAACTTGACCCAAGTGATTCCATCCAACATAGGGCTGTTCGTATTGTCGATGATCCCAAACTCGCAGACGGTCGAAGCCCCTTACTTTACGTAGAGACATTGGCTCTCAGTGTGTGTTCTACCGTCTTTATAATAGGGAGTGCTCTGAGAAACTTTTCGACCTAGTGTCACCGTCTCGTTTCTACTATAGCACTTCCCGCCAAAGGAGTAGAGTCCATCCCCACATCTTAGATGCCTGGCATTGTAAGACCACGCGGGCATCTCGTTCGTTCCTTCCTCGAACCTGCAAGATGTGAAATGATCTTCGTCCTATTTCCTATGCGCTGTAACATGGGATTCTTCACAAAACGTGTTTACCGGGTTCTCGAAGGCTGGCAACGCATAGGCAGCTCATCTGATGTAGCAAATGTCCATAGGCGACGATAACCACCTCCCATCAATCATCAATGGCAGAAAATTGTTATTTCCCTACATTTATCAACGATGGTGACCTCTATTTGACATATACATATACGTCATGGAAACATTTCGTTTTGTGTCACTGTGAAAGGGGACTGACAAAGTTATGACAGGCTGAGTACAGAAAAGTTCTATATGCATTTTTCAGGTGGCAGTGTAACAAACGTGTACAAATATCCCTGGTTGGTCCTAATCGAGTACATCGAGAAAAAAATGACATTTCTTCGTTGCGGAGGGAGTCTCATCAGCGACCGATATGTGCTCACTGCTGCGCATTGCGTCACTGGACCAGGAGTTAATACTCCTCCGTAAGTGACCATCATTATACCAGAACCTATTAATCTTTTAGTTCCGCACTGCTAAGTGTTGCCTTTAAGAAAGTGATCTCAACACCTTTCCAAATGCACTGGTTTGAAGCTGACCTCGGAAGTTTAAAAAAACGTCGTGGTAGTCATTTGACCGCCACCATCTTAAGCAGAGTGAGTTTTCGAATTTTATATGCGAAATTTAAGTTGAAATGTACCATGAGGTTTTCGGTGAATGAAAGCGTCGTAATAAAAACTGCACGTGGAAGAAAATTCACAACTCTCGGAAAACATGAGAAGTCAACAACCCGCGTTGGGCCATCGTGGCGACCGATAAGTGCTTAATACTATGCATTGCGTCGTTGGAGAAGTGCTACTTCGAGTTACTCCATAAGTGATCATTTTATACTGGAATCTTAGACAGGTTGATTGCTAATTATTGGCTTAAACCCATTCGACTACCGGAGTTCAGATATCGGTGGCCAACACAAAACGCCACGCCAAGTCTTTTACGTAATATTGCTACTTTGGCACCATGTTAACGTTCTATTCCCAAATTTCTTTTAAACAGTGAGGTTACGTATCATTGCGTTGTCTACCTCTACAATAGGTGAAAATGATAACAATACCTTTTCAGATGTAGTGATTAATGGTTGGTCTTAGAGTAGTACTTTTTTTACAATATCAAGTGACAGGATTATCAACTCGTGCGCCTGGTGGTAAGCTACATGCCTGTCCATAACAGTGCCACTCAGAGCTTTAAATGGCAAAGATCTGAGGGACACTGCGGCCGCGCCAGTTACATTACAACTGTGCCTGTAATTTCACCAGCACCCTTACCCTTCAAAACTGCCAATCAGTAATGCTCACATTACTGCTTGGCGGCAGAAATGTGTAGGTAAGATGGCACTACTTCCCTGGACGAACTCTTTCACAAGGAGCTCTACTGCTATTAAACGTACTTATAAAAAGTCCCTCACAAGCAGTTGTTTTCTAGCACTATTTCGATTTTCAAAACCCTCGTTCGTAGTTGAATCTTTGCCTTTAAACCGTAACGCAATAAAATGTCCTCTCAATAAGATCTCCCAATCCTCCGATAGTTACTGGTGTTTTAGTAATTTAGCAAATATTCCACTTTTGCATGTCTCTAACTCATGCTTGTGCAATAGTAATAAAGTTTATATCTACAATTCCCCAGCCGCAAAGTACGCCTAGGCGAGTATGACACTTCAAACGAATTCTACCAAAAGGACTGCGTTTTTTACAAAGGCGTTCGTGATTGTACTGATGGCGCTGTCGTTATACCTATTTCAAGCATCATCCCACATCCCGACTACGACCCTGAAGATAGAAGACAACGAAGAAATGATATTGCTTTGCTGAAGATGACTACAACGGTGTCTTATACTGGTAAGTTAATAACAATAAAATTTATAATACTTAACGCGCAGTATCATTAGTGTACGTATCAGTTTTATTAATTAAAAGATATTTTTAAAGTTACAGTTACATCTATTTACACATAACATGTAAAAATATATTTTATATTTTCTCCGACGTCTTACTAAGTATTCCTTCAGCTTCAAAGCGAATGATATTTCATTAGATTTCCATAACACAAATTCAAATTCAAAATAATCTTTATTTCATAGGTAAGCATTATTACACTTGAAATCGTCACAATGGTTAAACTCTACCGCTTATTCGTAAGGCAGATTCCCTTGAGAAGAATGAGCAAGAAACTCTAGGGGTTGCTCTTTGTAAATAACATTTACAATATTATTTTTTTTATTTGAAACATCAGATTGAGACTACCTCCATGAGCTAAACGGGTTACTACCACGGATTTTTGTCATCCAAGTACGCAGAAGTTGTATATAACCTTTAGTATAAAGTTTTTGTTTCACTATAGTTTTAAACCTCGTGAAAGGCAAATTTTGTATATCAACCGGAATCTTGTTATAGAAGCCTATACATTGCCCCTTAAATGATTTTTTGACTTTGTGAAGACGACTATCAAGAAAAGCTAGTTTATTTTTATTCCTCGTATTAATGTTATGTCTGTCACTATTTTTCATAAACAAATTACTATTCCTTTTAACATAAATTTTATTTTCATAAATGTACTGTGAGGCTAGTGTAAGAATGTTAATTTCCTTAAACTTATCTCTCAAAGATAATTTGGGGCACAAACAGTGCTTTAGCTACTTACTTTGGGATCAAAGCAACGTATGTGATGTTGTCTAATATTTATTTATTTATTTATATTACCCACAAATCGCGTCTGCACCAAAACAGAGTTATGGCTGCTAAAGGATTTGCAACTGTGGGGACCATCCTAATTATCCCGCTTACCACTAGGCGCACAACTTTTCGTTCCGTCACTTGAAAAAAAAAATTGAATTTTGACTATGAGTAAAATCAAGTTTGAAATTTTCAAATATCTAACATCAAAATTATCCTTCCTCATTCCAGAATTTATCCGCCCAATCTGCCTACCAACAACCGATATGACTGTATCGCCGCCTCCAAACTGGAAGTTATTTGCAGCCGGGTGGGGCAATGTCAATTATACTCATAACAGTACAGTGAAATTGGATGTGGAACTGCCGTATGTATGGAATACTGTGAGTATCATATGCAGCGTTATTATTAATATCATAAGATAATAAGACAAGTAGTGCAACTCCCGCGTGTTAAGCGTCAATGACGTCAAATGCGAAAACATTTGCAGTGTCTTTGGATATTTCTAAAGCCTTTGACAAGGTCTGGCACGTAAGTCTTTTAAAAATGCATTCTTCATTTAAGATGCTCACTGAACTTTGCAATTGAATCTCGTATATCTTGAGCGAGCGTTCGATTCGAGTAGTTTTAGAAAGCTACTCTTCTGAAGATCGGACGGAATGGAGTTCCTCAGGGTTCCGTGCTGCCCGTAACTTTTTTCTGCTGCATATTATCAACGATACATTATTTCCACCTGGACTTCCATGCTTCGAGTACATTCATGACAGTTGTAGATAGGTACTTGACCAATGTAGGGGTCAGTGAAAAAAATCCAGTCTTGTCGAGAGTAGTTTTGAATTGAAACTTAAGGCAGTCTCAGATTGGAGTATTGCCAATCTTATCAAATTTAACGCTACCAAAACATAAGCGTGTCTATTCTCCACAAAACGAAGGTCCCTCAGACCTGACTCATTTTTTTTCGTGATATATCCATACCGGTAGCCGACCGCCTCCAGCAACTTGGAATGGATCCAAAGTGTGCATGCTACACCGTAGACCTCATCGCCACTTTCCATCAGGTGATATGGAGGTCAAATGCTTCTATTTTATAAAAGAACCATATAACGTAAACACGTTTAATGATGGATGTAATTTTTTAAATACCGAGCGACCGCTCAAATTATATATGAATGACCCGTGCTGTGCAACTCGAGTGCACCGCAAAATTATACGAATGCGTGCGTCCGTATACTGCGCGCGGCGGTCGTACACACATGTATACGAGCCACCCAGCTCGTTTGTATGGTTCTTATAACTTACTTTATAACACTTATAATACTGTAGTCTTATACTATGTTAATATTTAGTAGCAGTAGAACTCCTTGTGAAAGACTTCGTCAAGGGAAGCACCGCCACTTTACTAAATCCTGTCGCCAAGAGGTAATTTGAAAAGGGCTCTAGTGAAATTAATGTGCCTATAACATTGGATTTGATCAATTAGGATCAATGTGTTTTAAGCAATACCAGTGCTCCTCAGGTTCTTTGTGATTTAAAGCACTGAATGGCAAGTGTTATGGGAGTGTCGGCTACCACCAGACCCACGACGTTTATTCGTCCCGTCACTAAATATCATATAAAAACAAAGGTACCGGTGTTTGATATAAACCTTTGTGTGGAGGTTTTGTTTCAGGCTAGTACCTATAAGTTAGAAACACAAAACTACGAGCTAAAATCTACGAGCTCGCACAAGGCATCGCAAGAATTTTGCGAATTGCTCCGCATCGCGTATGCGACGTTAATCTTCTTTGTGTTTCTTCCCTATACTTTCTTATCAATACAACATTCATTTTACGATGTCTCTATCTACCTAGTTTAAAAAATACGTTCAGTACGCTTGATGATTGTCGAAGAAATAGTTACCCAACAGTGAGTTGCCTTGCCCCACGAAATCGCATTGCAGCAATTCGCGTCGCAGTTTGCGTTGCGAATTTGCATCGCACCGATTCGCAGTTTTGTGTTTTGACTTTTAAATATCATGAGATCTTTCGAAGAATCAAAGCGACATCAGATGTGAATTATGCTAAGAATCCTTCTTTGGAACTAGTAGCAAACTTTTTCTAGATTTAACAATAAAATGGCGGCAATCTATTCTATTTTGCCATCACTGTAATGGCTCACGCGGTAATTTAACAATATTTTTGTAGTAGTTTTGGTACGGCGTACGTACTAATGCCAACTTAATAATTATTGTTGGGGTTGCCAAAAACCGAGTTAGATTACTGTTTTTCTGTCCTCGAGAGGTTTCGTTAATCGAGTTGTTACTCAGTCTTATGAATTATTGCCATGAGATGAATGAAAACCACGTATGTTCAAAAAACGTTTTTACAGTAGATAATAATATAATAAGATCAACAAGGGCACTCCGATATTCTTCCCAACTATAGGAAGAGTTTAATATATTTCATGTCTTCATTTCATAAACTTGTTATTATAATTTACAGGATTGCGAAAATGCATATAGCCACCGTCGCGTACTCGTCCTTGGAGAGGGTCAAATGTGCGCTGGTGGTGAATTAGGTAAGGACTCCTGCCAAGGGGACTCAGGAGGTCCTCTCATGTGGGAGAACAGTAGAGGAAAGAAATTCTATGAATTGGTGGGGATTGTCAGTTTTGGACCAAATCCATGCGGAGAGGAGAACGAACCTGGTGTTTACACGAAGGTGTACGAGTACATTTCTTGGATCCGTCAGAATGTTAATCCTTAGGATGTTCGACTGAAACTTTTACTATTGAATTTGAACCTAAGATTACTTGGAAATTTTCCTGTGCAAGTTCAATTATAAATAAATTAGAGTGACTTATGAATTGTATATCTTTATCGAAATATAAGAGCCTAAGCACACGGCGTGTTTTATACGCGCCATAAACCGCGTCATGTTTTGATAAAATATGACGTTTTAATTTTAGGTTTGTCTGTTAATTTCAGTTAGTTTTTTCATGAAGCAACTACATGAAATTTTAAGTGTAAGCTCCAGTGGAATATATAGGTAAGCATCTTGCTTGCAACGCGATGTATGCGCGTGTTTGAATCGATTCACTACAGCGCGTTTGCGGCACGTATATGCGCAGATGACTCGCGTTTACGGCGTGTATAAAATACGCTGTGTGCCCGCCGCTGCTCACACACTATCCTGCATATGACCAGCGTATGGAGTCTCGCAGAACGCATTGCAATCGTGTAATGTGTCCTGCGAGCAATCCTCCAGGATAATGAATTCCCAAACAACAAAAATGGCAAAAACCTTTGCCAAACAGACATAGCATAAGGTGAAACGCAAATAAGTCTTGATTTCTCAATCTCTAAATTTCCGATAGACATAAATCCCTTTAATACCGAGATAGCAACCTAGTCATAGTGGTAATATTCTCTTTGTATATAGCAAAAAGTTTATACGAGTATCATAATCAAAACAAACTTGAGAGTTTCCATATAACTGCCTTCGTGGCCGGACAGTCACACCATGCTGGACTGCCACGCAGGGGTCCCGGGGTCGATTCCCGGACCGGGAGAAATATTTGTATGTACATTTACAAATATTTCCTACATGTTTATTTCTCTGGTCTATGGCACCCACGATACAGGGTTTCCCTAGTGCGGGGTTATGAGTGTGTGCGTTATTATCTTAGACTATGGAAACTAAAGGACATGTTATGTTGACATATATAAATCATACGTTATATGTATTTGATGAAATTTGACGTTGACAACATAAATATCTTATTGTCTTTGTTTAACTCTTGCATGCCATCTTAAGTCAAAAGAGATATCATTACATTGGTCTGTGTCAAACACGGGAATCGAAAATACGTAACGTCAATTAAATGCCAACGGTGTCCATTTCGCAGTACATGAGGTACATGATACGGTTGTCAAAGGGAAGTACATCAAATGTCAAAACAAATGTTTTTCCAAGTGTTTTATTGAATTATTCGCATGTATTGTAATAAAATGGAAAAAATATTGACAGTGAGAATAATTAAGTATTAATAAAATTCGTCGCTGCAGCATTACGGGATGAGGCATTTGAAAAAGCGAAGATCGGCCGAATGTAACATTGTACAGGTATGTGTTCATTTTCTGTCTATAAGTCACACAAAAGTCCAAATATCTCATGTGATTAGACATATTTAAGTAATTTATTCATAAATCTTGCCAAATTTTGCTTTGGTTTCTTCAGATTGCCTATTTGTTTGTATATTTTGATGATTGTTGTTAACGATTATTTCGAGATAGTGTTGTTCTTGGAAGCGTACATATTATCGATATTCTGTTATTAAAATAATTCACTACGAGGTTTTTATTATTTTACTATTATTATTTTTACTATTTCAAGTTTACCTACAAATCAAAAAGAAAAAAGAATGGTTGGAAATCATACCGCCGTTTAATAGTGCCGAATATAAACATTGAATCAAAGACCATCTTCATTTATTCGCTTCATTTTGAAGAGTCAAATTTTAACATAACTTTGAATGTAACTAGATTACATGATAATGCCATTCCGTCATTAAGTTTATTGGTAAATAATTTTATATTTAATTTAGATTAAACAGAGACTCATTTACTAGGCATTCTCAGTTCCTGAAAACAAAATTATCCACTCGTTTCCGATTTTTTCCCACTGATAACTCTAACTACTAAAAATTCTTATTTTATAAAGCCTAAAGACTAACGTGTATAGAGCTCGTTTGACGTGGCTTGTCACAACCTGCAGTCGCTCGTGACTACTTGCCTCACTTCGGTGAAGTGTCGATTTTTCTGCACAAATCAAAGGCATTCGGCCAATAGTAGTCAATTGACATTGTATAATCAGACATTTGCATGCTATTTAATATATGCGAAACATGTTTATACTAACACTGTCTCTTGTTACATCTCCTGTTATACCATGATTTAAGCAAATAAACGTATGATAATAATATTATTATTGATAATATTACTACTTTCATTTATTTCCAAAATTAAATGGAAGTATTAAATGTTCACTTAAATTAGTCACTGATATTAATTCTATACCAATGCATAAATACAAAAAAGGTACTATTTGGAATAAAACACTAAGCTACTATTTGGAATCTGTTTAAAAATTTCTCTATGAAAAAGTGAATCTTGAGGTTGGAAATGTATAAGGATTTATATTTCAAAGTTTTCTCTTTTTTAAATACTCTCAAATTACAAATATTATTTTTTTCTGTGCAAATTCACTTTTCGTAATATTTGAGTATGTTTAAAAAACAATAAATTCAAAATTTCATGTGACATTCCCGGATATTCGTATAACCTAAAATATTCCCAAAAGAAATATTTATCTACTTCAATTAAATGACTGCATGGCGATAGTGACTTATCGATAGATTATGGTACGACACTAAAGAAATCCGCCATTTGTTCGTTCAATTTTTGTTTAGGTAGGCACGTTTATTCCGTAGTTAGGGCAGCTCCTTTCTTTTATTTTTTTCCATCCTCTAAGGTTATTATTGTCCATTATATCGATTGTGTTTTGACACATGGCGACGACACACTATTGGATCGCTATACTTGTGATTTATAAGCGATTCCATCGATGCAGTCGCGCGTTTACGTCGTTGCTTAAAGCAGCGCGTGTGTCTAAAGGTAGCTAAGAAAAGTCACCGCGTGTAACCGCTCTTAGTGATATTTTCAGTAGCATTGTAGGTTTTATTTTGTAATATTGCAAAGTCAATAGAATAAGATTATACGGAAGTATTTTAGTGAGAGAGCAAAAAATGTTGTCTAGTGAATAGTGCAATAAATATAAGTTTCGAATACTTGTCCCTGTCCCGAACACCCCCGAACCTTGTCATTTGAATATGTTTATACCAAAATATACAATTGGTTTCAGTATGTACGGACAACAGCACATCAGACTACATATGTTTGTTCGAAAATCGCCTCCAGTGCAACGGTACAAGACACATCAATGTGTAGCTTGATGTGCTGTTGACTATACAAACATTTTTGTGGATTTACTTTAGTTTTTAGTCCAGAGTGTTTGTTTTATATATTTTTATAGCGGTTATTCGTTTTACTATTCTTATTATTTATAATATTTAAAATATATTACATTGACATGATTTTATAACTTTATATATTTATTTATTGCAATAAATAAATTTGTAAAAACCGTTCATAGCCGGTTTTGTAAGTGTATATGTGTTTGAATGTATGCGGGCTGCGACCGGTCTTAGCATTTATCTTCTTGCCAATAAATCAGTATGCAGACAAACAGGCTTTGTTATTGGCATGTTATCCTCCCGCTATATATGTATAACTTTCCTATAAACATTATAGTCATTGAAGATATTATTTTGATTTTTTTTAATGAAGAAAGCGTCATCGCCCTTTAATTTTTATATGATTTTATTTTCGTGTGTAAAAATGAAAATTGATAAAAATATGGTTGTGCAGAGAACAGAGCTTACGCTTAAGCTCTCGTGACTAATCTCACAAATTGTGTATTTCGTATTTTTCAAAAGTCGAATTCAGATTAATAAAATAAAAAGAGTCCTAAGGAAAGAAATTAAACTAATTTTTCGGATCTAAATTTGGAATTCAACAAATTAAAAAAAAACCGACCTCAAAAGTCATTCATACCCTTGTTTTATACCCTTAGAGGTGGATTATTTTCTTAAAATTTAAATGGAACCACCGCTGTAGTACCCTCATCCAACAAAAAAAGAATCATCAAAATCGAATCACAAACGCCTTATCGCGTAACATACATACAAAAAAAAACACAATCAAATAGAGAACCTCCTCCTCTTTTTGAAGTCGTTAAAAAACAAAAATAGTTTCAGTTTCAATAACCGATTGCAAAGTTTCGAGTTTTATTGAAAAATGCAAGTGCAAATAATATTATCATATACCTACATGATAATATAATTTGCACATGTAAAAATGTGTAGTCTGGTGTGCCGTTGTCCGTACGTTATGCATATCAAGCTAAATATTTCGTGATTTTTTTTAAAATACTCATCTACATCAACGACTTACCTAAAACTATAGCATAAAACCGGGATAGATGCCCCACTTTTTGAAAGTCTCCTAATTTAAAAATTATAAGTTTACCATGAATAATTCCTATGGATATAACTAGTTTAATCTTTTACATTACATTTAGACATGATTTTATTGATCTAACATTTACTGATTTTGGAGAAATTGACTTTTTACAAACCAATTTTTTTGAGGATATATGCCTACCTATATGGATAGATGCTACACAATGAAAACACTAAGAAGGATAGATGCCCTTTAGAATAAAATAGTAAAATTCATAATAAAATGTTTTATTTGTAATCTTTAATATAATGTATATACATATTACATCTTTAATAATAAATATATACGTATTTAAAGTTACTATCTACTTCACTTCGTATTTTTGTAACTATCAAAACATTCTAAACAAAATGTTCGCTGTTTGAACTGTGAAAAATTTGTCTTTTTGGTACTTTTACTTACTTTTAAATTATTATTATTTAGTCGTCTTTTTCACTAAAATAATGTATTTTCATTTTTCTTTTCTTAACTTTCTTGTCTTGTCCTTTGCCCCTAAGGGCACCTATATACCGCGAAAAATCGAGGCGACTATCCTATTCGATGTGGATAGATTTGTTATTATTTAACTAAGCTATATACAAAAGAGCGATTATTGGTACCTAGGTGCGCAGTTAATGAACCAGTGTTTAGATATAATAAAAATAAAACGGAATTTATTATAACTTACAAAGTTATGCAACAGTAATTACTTGCGTCTGAATATTTTGAACCGTTTGTCGTGTTCGTCCCGGAGATAAACGCATGCAGAAGCCAAAGGCGTCTACTAATTATTCTTTGTTGCGATTTGGGGAAGTTAAGTTTTTTTGAAAACGAGGCACCTATCCCACTGCGGCATCTATCCCGGTTTTAACCTAAATGAACATTGTGTCCTATTTGCTGACGAAGTCTCCTTGCTTACGACATGTCGTAATAATACAGATGTAAATGAACAACTTCACGAAATGCTCCAAACCACAGTCAACTGGATGACCGATCACAACCTTGAAATTAACTTTGCAAAAACCAAAAGTAGCTTTTTATCCGTACCAAACGAATAACTTAAATATTAACTTTAATTTCAACAATATACATTTAGATTACGTTCAAGAATTTACTTTGCTAGGCTTAGTTTTAGACACACATGTCAATTCGAAACCACATATTCAAAAATTAAGATCTAAAATCGGCAGATTTGCTGATGCACTTTGTCAAATAAAGAAAACAACTGATTTAAAAACCGCGCTCACCACTTACTACGCGTATAACTATGCGTGGCTCAACTATGGTGTAATGCTGTGGGGAAACAGCACAGAATCTTCTTCAATTTTAACCTTACAGAAAAAAATTAATAAGATTTCTAGCTAACATTGATA